CATCTTCAAGATAAACAAGAACACCCGTTACATCACAAAAATTTACATAACACAAAATAAGAATGTATAAAAGGCCCGTCAGGCACTCTATACCAGCCAGCAGGCACAGGCCCTTCAGGCAGATCAAATATTGATCAAACGCGGACTCTGAGCATCGAGGTCATGTGCGGCAAGCATGGGCTCGGTGGCCAGGACTCACTTCTCGAACACCCAGCCGGCGAGGAGAACAAAATTTTTATTTTGTCAAATCGGCGACTGAGTGAACGAGCACACATATTCTTTTCTAGACAGAGAGCTGTCGGTCTAGACCGATGGCTCTCTGTCTGGAACACACGCTCTTTTTAGGGACATGAGTCCCGAAGTAAAGCTAGAGTAACTTCTATAGAGTCAGTAAAGTTAAATAGGGAGAAAAGCCGACATGTGTGCTACCCCTACAGTTAGGTGGCCTAACCACAGTCATTAAAAACAGAAGGTGTCTCATTACCCAAGACACCTTACATAACATTCAGATCATAAGCCTCCTCACGTAAGTCACACGCTGAGGAGGGGTGGAGGAAAAGCCTGGGGGTCAGATAGGTACCACCTCAACTAGTGAGGTGTAACCGGTTTGATTTTCGGACATGTGGATCCCACTCTTACAGTGGTATACACATGTCCCTAGGGGTAGGGTTGATCGCCTCGCGTGATTGTGTGTGACACTGACTACTCTTTGTGAAGAAGTACAGCTGGTTCCTAAAAAACTGATACTACTCTTAGTAAGATTTGATCAGTTTGAGCAGTGTATTTGATTGGCTTGACAATATATTATATTTATTATGACAGACAAATAATAAAATAAACAAACAAACAACAAACAATTGATTAAACATGTTAATTCATAAATTGTAATAGGTCTAAATTTTAATATTATCTTAAATTCCTACATTTTATAAAAAAAATTTATAAATGATAGTTTTTACATATTTTACAATAGGGTTGTTTTGATTATTTTTATTAGTATTAAGGAATAAAACAAACGACTACTCAACAATATATTAAAGCAAGAATTGTAACCAAATTAAAAGATAACTAGGCACTATCAGAGACAGCAAAACATTTTAACATAAGCAGAACCACAGTTTTTCTATTAATAAAAAATGGAGGAAACAAAAAACTCTCGAAAGAAAGCGAGGGTCTGGAAGACCAAAATTATACTAGTAAAGTTTAGCTATGTAAAAATAAAATTTATATTTTGTAATATCTCCATCAGCATTGATAACAGTTTGTAGTCTTCAGTCCATCTGCGTAAAAGGAACTATGAAATTATCTTCTTCAGAGAGCTCTTCCCAAACCTATTGTATACCGTGAAACAGCTCTTCCGCATTTTGAGGTATAAAATTACGCCGATACAACCGTTTTATTATAACGCCCCACACGTTCTCGATTAGGTTTAAATTTGGACTGTAGCTGGGGTAAGGTTTCGATGTTGTAATTATGAATCCACGGGTTTATTATATTTGCAGTGTGAACAGGACAATTATTTTGTTTGAGGATACAATTATTTTCTGCATACAACTGTTCAACACTGGGAAATATAAAGTTTTCTAGAATATTCAGATAAGTCTGACCAACAAACTTGCCACCAATACGTCATACCATTCCCATTCCTATAAAATCCATCCCCATAAATTGACGCTAAAATGACCAGTTGTTAGATATCTATCAACATAGAGAGGATTAATGGTATTATTATCTGGCCTATACATTCCAATTTTGCCCTTTTTAGAAGATTGAAAAATTTTGTCATCTGTAAATATTACCCTGTCCCAAAAATTTTGATTTTGTAGCTGATGGTTTAAAGCAAATATAAGACTTAATTGCTTCTGTTGTGATATAAGAGCTTCTTTTTTTCTCTACTTCTTTGCTTTTGCAGTTTGGTATCCAAGACGCAATGCTTTAATTATGTGCCAAGTTGTTGTCTTTCTTGCCGAAAACTGTGACATAATTCTTGCAGTTTTTGGATCTTTAAAAGGATTCTCTTCTAATCTCTCTAAAAGCGTACGATCTCCATGAGCGGTAGATATTTTTTTTTTCTTCCAGAACCTTGCTTTCTTTCGAGTTTCTTGTTCTCTGCATCTTTTATTAATATTAAAACTGTTGTTCTGCTTACGTTAAAATGGTTCGCTGCGGCAGATAGTGACGAACTATCTTTGAATTTCGTTACAATTCTTGCTTTTAGTTCTTTGCTAGCATGTGGAGCCATTTTTTGAGGTTGAACAGAATAAGTTATCTGATAAATTTTTAGATTTGGCAGTGACTTAAATACGCTTTAAGAGTCGTATCAGCTTTTTTAGGAACCAGCTGTACAAAAAGACTAAATAGACCAACGCAACAGATTTCGCTGATTAGAAAAAAGATGGAACATGTGCACGTAGCGGAAAACAAAAAGCGATTATGTCTGCTTTATACTTAGAGAATGTACTCCAAAATCACGAAATGAAAAAAGCTACAATATGTGCGAATAAGCTCACATACATACATTTTAGGTAGAAACTCACAACTAACAATCCACAATAAGATATAAATTTAAAAGCAAAGATTCAAATCAATATGATTATATGGACTAGAGATGGGACTGTACTAGTGAGAGTACCTATTCTTCCCTTCAAAAAATAAGTAAGGTAATCAAAAGACGGATACTGACTACTGGAAACATGGCAAAACTACTGTGGTGAGCTATATAAAAATAACGAGGTACCAGCAGAAAATTAATGAACCTCTGACTAACCTAGAGAACCTACTGTCTTACTCGCTGAAGTCAAAGATGCAATTAAATCGCTAAAGAGAAATAAATCCTCAGGCATTGATTCAATACCAGGTAAAATACTACAATTAGTAGGTAACAAAGGATTACATATCATCCATTCTATCTGTGTCACTGTTTGGAATTCAGGAAAATGGCCATCTGATTAGTGTATCTTAATTTATATCCCGCTACACAAAAAAGAAACTATTACCAGATGTAAAAACTACCGCACACTGTCACTAATAACACATGCTAGTAAAATATTGTTGCATATTATCAAAAACATTACAAAATACCTCAGAAACAAGCGGGGTTTGTAAAGATTAAAGGTACACGAAAACAAATCCTAAACCTGAGACAACTCAGTGACTGTACCTATTAATAGTACCTATTCTTGCCTTCAAAAAATCCAAAACCGGATACTAAGAAACATAGTCAACGCTCAGTGGTATATCCATAGCAAAGACCTACATCGGGAACTCCGTATCGTAAGAATTAAGAAATAAATAAATAAGGTTGTCTACGGTCACGAAAAGTGACTCCCTAACTATAAAATCAGTTAAGTTTTAGAACTGCTAGATAATCAAGACCTAGTTCCTAGGCTTAAACGCACCAAACCTGTTGAACTTATGTGATAGTCATAAATATTTAAATATCAGTTTAAATTCTGACAGTGGAGCTAGCCACAACAGTGTAGTGTACAACAATAATTATTAGATTATAAGGTGATCCATTGAGAACATCTAGTAAACAGTAAAGTAGCAGATTAAGTTAAAAAAGATAAATCCTGGTTAATCAGAGGATTAGATGTATTGTTGCTTTAATATATAACAAAAAATTTAAAATAGGTAAAGAAATAATAAATAAGACTTACAATCAATTTAATTTAACTATCAGACGACCGGTTTCGCTTTCTACAATATGCAAAGCATCTTCAGGTCTCGATACAAAGTTAAATAAATGCTGAAATGATAAAAACCCATATTAGGGTGTTGTCTAATTAAGATAAACAAAGTAGATATTGGAAATTACAATAATTATACCAATATTACATGTCTGTGGTTTTATTTCAAAAAGAGTAAGTTGAATAAAAAGGTATAAAAAGTTTTAAAAGTTTAAACAGACAAGGTAAGGCCCACAAATTGTTATAAAATAGTCTATTAGATTGTATTAAATTAATAAATGAGCCAATAAATAAACATTACTTACATGCCGGGTACTCTATTAATTGATGGATGGTAGAACATGGTTGAAACTACTATGTATTGTTGAATGGAGAACTCAATTCTGCTATTGTAGTTGTATGACAGTAAACGAAAAGTTCTTGAGGAGATAGATTTGATCCAATGAAGCAGAGATATGTGTGTGATTGTTTGTTAAATGGAAGTGATGTAATATACCATTGTATTATTACATCACGAATTACATCTCGAATAAGTATAAATAACTTTTAATAATACAATGGTATATATATATATTACATCACTTTCATTCAATACAATGGTGTATATATATATATATATATATATATATATATATATATATATATATATATATATATATATATATTACATCACTTTCATTTAACAAACAATCACACACATATCTCTGCTTCATTGGATCAAATCTATCTCCTCAAGAACTTCCCGTTTACTGTCATACAACTACAATAGCAGAATTGAGTTCTCCATTCAACAATACATAGTAGTTTCAACCATGTTCTACCATCCATCAATTAATAGAGTACCGGCATGTAAGTAATGTTTATTTATTTGCTCATTTATTAATTTATTACAATCGAATAGACTATTTTATAACAATTTGCGGGCCTTACCTTGTCTGTTTAAACTTTTAAAACTTTTTATACCTTTTTATTCAACTTACACTTTCTGAAATAAAACCACAGACATGTAATATTGGCATAATTACTGTAATTTCCAACATCTACTTTGTTTATTTTTATTAGACAACACCCTAATATGGGTTTTTATCATTTCAGCATTTATTTAACTTTGTATCGAGACCTGAAGATGCTTTGTATATTGTAGAAAGCGAAACCGGTCGTCTGATAGTTAAATTAAATTGATTGTGAGTAAGTCTTATTTATTATTTCTTTACCTATTTGAAATGGACTCACAGACTCACACAAGCAACCCATTCATCATAAACAAAAAATTTATTAAGAATCTTAATGTTTTTTATACTATCATATTACCATCTGTGTTTTCTGTAGACAATTTAGCAATAATCCACAACTGCTGAGAATATGTCGATAATTTCGGCGTTTTCATAATAAACGGTCCCGTCGCTATATTTTTATTTATATTGGGGTTGGTGTTGTTATTTTTTGGCAGTAAAGAGACTCCATCTACTTCGGTGGTTAAGGTTATGGGAGGACCTAAAAATCATAAAATAATGGCTACGTTAATAGATATAGACGTAAACTGTAGAATGTCTTAAAATTTATCATATAAATAGAAGCTATTGAAGATGCGAAATACTCTATTACAAATTAGATCATAGGGGATGGTAATGCTAAAAAATTTTTGGACTCTTGGTTTTTTGGAAAAAATATCGAACCAATTTTTGTAGTTAATTACATCATCCAAAATTTGTTTAGTGTATGTTCACAATAAAAAAAGAGAAATATTCAAGAAGCCATCTTTTAACATTTGATTTTGAATAAAAATTTTACTAGTAACTAAATTGATCGGAATTTTCACATTACATTTGTAATAGCGTATTTACATATGTTCCAATTTAACTTTATGCCAATTTTAACCGACTTAATTGTATATGTACACTGGCATATGTACCTACCTGCAAGACCAACAAATATGCCTAATCCAAAACAAGTGAAAAACGTTATAAAAACCATTACAAATTCTCGTTTATGCATTGTATAGAGCCTCATTTGAACTGACCTAAAAACATTAAACGTTAAAAAATAGGAAATTGAGTTTATTATTATAAAGTTATTTTTTATCTGTCTGTTTATACCAGTAATTATCATTATTGTTGCTTATGATATACAAAAGCTAGGAAAAAGAAAAGATTAAGATTGAAAGAGTTTCAAAGCTTTGAAGAAGTCTCGAAGTCATTAAATCAAACGAAAAATAATAAAGTAGCTGGGGATGACCATATCGTGTTTGAGGTAATTAAAGCAGGATATATTAAAAGCATTGGCACAATTATTTAACTCATGCCTTTCAAAATAGGTTACCACGTCTCAGTGGAAAAAATCTGTTATAGTAGTCATGCACAAAAGGGAGATATAACTGAGCTGAGGAACTATAGACCTATCGAATTGTTTTTCTTACATTTATAAGTTGTTTATGATAATATATATTGTTTATGATATATAATAACTGATAACTAATAGGTTAATATCAAAACTAGACTTCTATTAACCTTATGAGCAAGCAATTTTTAGACCTGGATACGCAAAAAATGATCATTTGTAAATCATAAGTCGTTCATTGAAAAATCCAATAAATATAATAGATCTCTAATACTTTATCGATTTTGAAAAAGGATTTGACAAGGTTGACCAATGTTCAATGGTCCATAATTTAACGCTATGTAGAATAAACAATAGTTACATATCCCTCATCATATACATCTATGATCATGCTAGAGCTTGTGTAAAAATGAGGATACTGGGACCTTTCACATTGAAAGAGGAGTTCTGCAAGAAGAAAATATGTCTTCTAAATTGTTTACCACTGTGCCAAAATATGCCTGTATAACAATAGATTAAAACGGGAAGGGCATCAATATAGATGGAAAATGTTTAAATTATCTTAAGTTTGCAGAAGAGATTGTTCTCATTGCAAAGAGCTTTGAAAATGCGCAGATAATGCTCCATGAGCTGCATTACCATCATCATCATAGCATCTGCACTCTCGACGGAGTGGTTGCCACCTTTTTTATTTTGGTTTTATAATTGGTTGTGTGACTTGGCATCTTCTACATTTCTTTCCTGTTTTTGCTAATGGTTTTCCATTCTCTAACTTCCATATTTTCAAGGTTTGCTATTATCTGATACCCCCATCTCGTTTTCGGTGTTCCTCGTGATCTGCCTGATACTGGTCTTAATTTGGTGATTTTCTTGGTAAACTAAGTCAATCCATTTGTCTACATAAATCTGACGATGTCTTTTTTTTAAGTTTTCTTACTTTGTAGTCCAGTTTTCTAAATTCCTTATTACCTTAGTTTAGTTAGCCTGCTATTCTCCGAATGATTTTTCTCTCTAGGGCCCTCAATTTTTCTTCAACTTTCTGTAACTAACCTCGAGTTTTAACCTTGTTTAGGCTTACGCCTCTTCAAGGAACGGGGAACTCCTTTTTTTGTCGGAGTTGTAGGTGGTTACGAGAAAAAACGTCAACTGATCGAAACGCGGCCTAAGAAGCAGAGAACTGCTAAGGAAAGAAGGGAAAAAGAAGGTGGCTTATGTTGTGATCGATAAGAATCGTGAACGCACAAGAAGAAGTGGGATTGCCTAGCATGCCGTGAGGTACTTCAGGGTTACCAGCCATACAGTAGGAACGGCTCTTTATCAGCGTTTTTGGTGCGCAGTTTATCTGCGATAGTAGATGGGGAAAGATTCTAAAATATCAAAATACTCCTCAGGAAGTTCAGGTCCAGCGTTATGAAGAAGTTTAGCTGGAGGGAATGGAACTTTGTTTGCGGGATGCCTGGTGAGTATTTGCCCTCTATGTGAACAAGGTGTCTTCAATGTTTGTTTTGCTCGGTTGTTCGAGCCAGCTATGGTTCTTAAGACATACTTCCTACTGAGGGTTAGGATTCTGTCCTTGATAGGTGTGATGTTAGCTATTGCATATATGTGGGCCGATGGATACAACCAGTCTTTTCTCATGCAGAAACGTAGTATTCTACGCTCTATGGCGGTGATGGCATTGAGGTCGTGGTTCCTCAGGGAGAGGTAAACGCATGCCTTGTATTCGATAATCGGTCTGATGAAAGTCTTGTAGGTGTGCAACAATGTGTTAGTGGACGTTCCTCCTAGTTTACCGGCCAACACTTTCAGGAGGTTGAGCCTCTTTCTCATCCTGTCAAGGGAATCTTGGACGTCAGCCTTCCAATTGAGAGTTCTCGTAAAACGAACTCCTAAGTAGAGAACTGAGTTCCTGAGAATAAGGTCCTCCCCAAAAGTGTCACCCGGCCCTGAAGGCCGCGTCCGTACGGGGGTCTAAATAGGATTGCTTGTGTTTTGGAGGGGTTTAAAGTAACCCTCCATTTGTTGCACCACCTCACGACTCTGTCAAGATAATATTGCGATTTCTCGAATACAGACCGTCGCTCTCCTTCCTGTAGGAGCCTGAGGTAAGAATAGCTGTATCATCAGCAAATAGGAGAAGAGACTCTGATGCTTGCTGTGGGCGGGGGATGTCGCTATTGTAAACTGTGTATAATATTGGAGCAAGTATTGAGCCTTGGGGCACTCCTGCTTGAGGAGTGAATGGAGTGGAGAGATGCTCTCCTATTTTGATCCGAACCGTCCGATGAGAGAGATAGGAATTTATTAGTTTAACGAAAGGTGTTGGCAGTCCAGCAAGGTGGAGTTTCTCGATCAAGCCTGCGTGCCAGACTTGATCGAAAGCCTTCTGGACATCGAGGAAAATGCCTACGACGTGCTTCCTTTCGTTAATGGATTGAGAAATGAAAGTTGTTGCTTCAACCAATGCATTTTGTGTGGAGTGTCCAGCCCTGAATCCGAATTGGTAGTTTGGAATGAGGAAGTGAGCGTCTAGGAATTCTACGAGTCTCTCCTTGAGGATCCTCTCGTAGACTTTACCTAGGGTGCTCAGTCACGAAATTGGTCTATACGACTCAGGATTGGTGAAGGTTTTCCCTTTTTTAGGGACCATGACAGTGCTGGCCACTTTCCAAGGAATAGGAAAGTAGCTCAGCGCAAGAGATGCATTGATTATATTGGTGAGCAACGGGATAATATTCTGTGGAAGATTTTTGAGGCATCTTCTATGGATGCCATCTGGGCCAGGAGACGTGTTTTTTTCCTATTTTACACATCTGACTGACGGTTTCCTCAGTCACTGGCGCCATCATCGGATGAGGATGTGGTCCGTCAAGTGGCTGAGGGTAGTAGAATATATCTTCCACTCTCCGTTTGGTGGCTCTTTTGGATATTTCACTAAAATTTGGATTATTGGGTGAAACGAGGGTGGCCTGAAGTGTGTTTTTGAAAGCTTCGGCCTTGTCTTGTGGATTATTTAGAATGACGTTATTAATTATAATATTAACTTTCTGTGTGTGACACATTACTTCAGCACCATATGTGATTGCTGCTTCTTAAATTTTTAGTTTAGTATTTGAGTGAGCTTTTTATCTTTGAGGAAGTTATTATATTTCGAGTAAGTCCTGTTTCCGGTCAGAATTCTTTCATTGATTATTATGCTTATATTTAAAGTATTCTACCTTTTTAAAGATATATTCGCCACTGTTTAACCTTTTTACAGCAACTATATTTTTCTTGAGCGTATTAGTATTAGTTTTATTTTGATTTATTGCCAAACCCCTCTTGAATGCTTCCTTGAACACCTTCGCAAATTCTTCCTTTAAACTGTTTAGGTATCTGCTAGTCAATGGTATGTCGTCAGCGTACATCACATTTTGCGACGTCGATGTTATAATTGTAATAGTAACGTTGATATAGAGTCGCTTGTCGTACTCCAGTAGCTCTTTGGGTGTGTAAAAGGATGTGTAAGTCAATATCATGTTGTTATCAATATTGTTATCCATTTCTATTGTTTTCGATTTCTCACGTTTTTTCGTTTTTACCTACTAATTTGCAGTTAGTAATTGAATTAAGATAGTTATATTCTATCTTCTGAATATTTATGCCAACTATCGCATATTCTGTACATTAATTAGATGCCCGATACATTTTGCTTATTTTTTTTTTTAATTTTCATATTATATTTTATTAATAGTCTTGTGGCCTCTTCGTCTATGTCAAGGTTAAGTCAAATCATTGTCCCATCTCTATTTAATTATTATTATTCCACCTTCCTGTTTTGTTGTGATAACGTTTATTTCTGAAATATTCACCACTATTTGCCTCATTGTTCATTTCAAATTTTCATTGTTATTTTATTTAGCTTATCCTTTTGTTTCAACTATTTTTTTTATTGTGTAAAACTTATTGATTTTTATAGAAATTCGATACAAAATCAGTGCAACGCCATTACTCGGAGGTTTTCGCGGTTGATAAATATGAGTATCATTATGAATTATCTGGTACCTAGGAAGGGACTTTTCTCCCAAAGTTTTATAGAAATTATATACAAAATCAGTTCGTACTGGGCACCAGCTGCCTGGTGCCCCGTCATAATATTCGTCATCAACAATACCAAAAACCTTCGAGTAACGAGTTTGCACTTATTTTGTATCGAATTTTCACAAAACTCCAGACGGGTCCTGATCCTTGGCACCAGGTGCATCGAAGACTATCACCGTCATGATATTCGTATTTAGTAATCTCAAAAATCATCGAGTATAGAACTAATTTCCGTCGAATATTTCCGAATTACAAATTTATTAGTTTTCATCACTTCAAAATGCTCTTTTAAAAATGTATTTTCCTTGTGCAATAATGCAATTTTTATTTCGACAATACCACTTAAGTTCACAAAATACAGAATTGGTAGGTTTTGGGCTTTTGACTGCTTCATTTGCTTGCCTAATAAAATTTCAATGTAACATTTTATTAAAAATATGTATTAGAAAATATAAAAGATACGCTTACCGTTCACACCTGTCATGGTGGTAGGCAGGCGCTATATATTTGTCAAACTCGCTGAATATGTCAGAAAACTGTGACAATGCGTTGCGTATTTTGGCAGACCATCCTCCAGCCGGTAGATGGTAAGTATAGCCGAAAGTTGTGTTATCAGCTCTGGATGGCATGATCTAAAATAAAACACAGAAGATTTATATATGCCTTCTGCTGATAAGGAAAATAAATATCACAAAAGGAAGAACGCACGAGAGCACAATGCAAAATTCCTGCATAGTTGCTTAAAAAATAATTACTATTTTGTTATGTAGTTTGGTCGTCAGAGATTTGACATCTAAAAATCAATGAACAAACTGAATTTCGCTGAGAATATCAATTTTGGGACCACAAAAATGATGCAAAATAGTTTACCACGTTTACGTCTTACCCCTAAAACGCTCCCTTATAAAAGAAAAAGCGGAAAAATAATACATTATTTATGGACACGTTATTTTTTATTTTATACCTACATTTTATTTCTACTGCGTACATATTATTGGTAAATCGTTTGTTTTTTTCTTTTTTTTTTCCTACCAGGGGGGTTTTACGGAGAAAACCATGGGTTTCAGCTTGTTCGCATGATTTATAGAGGTTCAGTGGCAGTTTCTTCTGACCACTGAAATATGAACTCTCACAAGAATGCCATAAAAAGGTTAGAGGCATTTGAAATACCGACTTATGTTAAGGGTGTGATACATACACCACCCAACTAACATAGCTATTATCCGGAGTCTAAGAAAAGACAAAGAACTTATAAACACCGTAAAAAACAGAATATTGGCTTACTTCTGCCGCATCATGCGTGATATAAATACTGATTTCTACAAGGCAAAATTGAGGGTAAAAAAAGAGATGATGATGCAGACGTATATCCTGGCGTGCTAATCTTAGGAAATAGACTGTTCTAACGTTAACTGACCTATTTCGAGCTGCTGTGAATGGGTCAATGTGGTCGCCACTATCACTAGAAGATAGTGAGCAGAAGATAGCAAAAGGATTACATACTTGGAAAAGAAAGTGCCATGATATGGGAATAAAATTGAATATTACCTGTTTATATACTTTACAATTTGCAGATGATCAGGTCATAGCAAACGATAAGGAACATATGAAATATGTAAGAAGGAAGTTTGCTGAAGAATTTTAGAATAATACTTTTATATATAATATAATAATAATTTTAGAATACTAGACTAATACTTATACCGGAAACACCAAATATCTCAGTGTTGGAACAGACACAGCAAATCTTGTAGTAAATAACATCAAGGAAATAACGAGTGTTGCTGAATACAAGTATTGCAATAAGAAAAAATGAATAAAATTAACAGAACTTGAAAGAATTATATCTCTTGGAAGGAACACTCTGTCTCCGCAGACAACAAAAAAGAAATTCTTCCAAATGAAACGTAAACAGTAAAAATTCACAAAGAGTCTGGAACATTTAAACAGAGAACTCCACTGTGCACACCTTCTATAAAAAATACAGAAATTGTAGTTGTACAACCAAAGCGAACGATAATAAAGAACATCAAAGCAAAGAAAGTTTATAACAAAACCAATTTCTTGAACCAGCAAAAGAATGCATTTAATGAAGAGGATTTGTATTAATATCGAGGAGTTTATCAGTTTTCTTGTGGATGTCCATGATTTTTCCCATCCGATAAAAATTCCTCGAGAATAATATTATAGATATACCAGTAATTATTAAAATGTTGATAGAAATCGAACTTAAACTCCAACAAAGAAGTATCAAGAGCAAAATTACAAGAGTAAGAGGAGAAATTGCAAAATAATTACAGAATCAATTAGCCAATCTAAGTCCGGTTTTGGAAATCGTTCTAGTTAGACGTCTGTAATTTTGCTCCGAGATTTGTCTCAAATTTTGGCTGGACTTCGAGTATGATTTGCATATAATAAATAGTGCTAAGTCTAGTTAACAAGGATTTTTATGGGATTAATTAAATCGGTTATATTTCTTGGATTATAACAGTTAATTAAAAATTTAGTGTTTTCAATGGGTCAATAGAGAAGAACTGGAAAAAGAAAAATAGAGAAGAAAGTAAAATCGAAGAGATTTTTAAAAAGAGTAAATTAACGAAGACGTCATCGAGCAAGAACAGTCCTCAAAACGAGGATATGCTTAAAATAAAGTGCTTTTCAGATAAAGCTATCCACCTTAAATAACTTTTGAACCTCTAATTTTTTGGAAAAACGCAAAAACATGTCAATTAATATCTGAAGGGGGAGACATAATATCATATTAAAGGTTGCTATGCACCCTCTCACCCCCTGTAACAACCCTTTATTTTTTTAAAATTACTTCCCCCTTTTTTGTTTTATATTTGGATTCTCCTTTTTGTTCTGATTTCAAAAATGTATAATACCTTTGGCTTGAAGTGATTAGTTTATCACATAGACAATTTTCCTGTTAACAAGACAGTATTTCACCTCACCTTAATTGACTCTTAACAAAATAGGTTGTAGCATAATTTAAACTCTTTAAATATTTAACCGTACTATTTGTAGTACATTCAAAAACCAAGAAACAAAAAAAGTCACTTTTTGTTCAAGTTTTATTAAAGGTTTTCGATATTATTTTTACATTTGTTTTAATCGGTTAATAGCGACAATTTGTTATATATATATATATATATATATATATATATATATATATATATATATATATATATATATATATATATATATATTATATATGTATATATATATATAATATATATATATAATAATATATAATAATAACTAAAGCTCGGATTATAGGCAAAATGCCTTTTTTTGCCTATTTTGCCTATTATAAGTGTTTTTTGCACTTTTTGCCTTTTTTCGTAAATTCCGCCTATTTGTGCCTTTTTTAAAATTTCATGGTACTACCCATGATATTATTCTATTACTAAACCATTCTATAATAAAATTTTGGGTCAATAATAAAATATCAATGGTTTGTTTATATAATAGATTTCTAGGAAAATGTACCTGATCGAGACTTGAGGGTTAACTATTTGGAAATCCCTAAGCTTTATTAGTTTATTATCAGTTGTACAGTCGGTTACTGTATCAGAGTTTACTCACAAATTAGCAAATTGCTATATCCTAGTTTAGTTTTGTTGCGTATACCGAAAAGCAAAGAACACGTTTTAAAACGTTCAAGACAGTTGTGTGAAAAGATGACATCTAAATTAAGGCTATGGATCGCACCTTATTCGGAACTTTCTCTAGAAGGAGATGGAGCATTTTGTAAACCATGCGGCAAATCGGTAAGTTTTATTTTTTTTTTCTTTTTTTCTCGTCCCACAACATAACTAAATTCTAAAGCGGTTTTAGAATTCTAATTATTTTTTTTAATTCTCAGATTTCAAGTAGAAAAAAGTACTTTATTGACCAGCATTGTGGAACCCCACTTCATAAACGTAATTTGGAAAAATTAAATTCCTCTAAGTTAGCCCAAACATCTCTGCGGGATAGTTTAAGCAGTTCAAAAAAAAAGGAGGAAGACGCATTTAAATTTGATTTATGCCAGATGATGATTGCATCCAACATTCCTCTATATAAAGTTAATAACCCTAGTTTTAAACGCTTTTTTGAAAAATATCTTAATAAATCCTTACCGGACGAGAGTACATTGAGAAAACATACTGTGGAAAAATGTTATGTGGAATGTATTTCAAAAATTAAGCACGAGTTGGAGGGCAATTTTTTGTATATTATCGTGGATGAAACGACAGATGTATGCGGCAGGTATATAGCTAATTTAATGATTGGAATTTTGAACGAAAACTTTGCGAGAAAACCTTATTTAGTTGCCGTTAAAGAATTGGAAAAAACAAACAATTTAACAATAAGTCGATTTATACAAGATAGTTTAACAAACCTCTTTTTACCCAACGCTATACCAGTGAATAAAATAGTTTTAATGCTTTCAGATGCTGCGGCATATATGTTAAAAGCTGCTGTTAATTTAAAAATTTTTTATCCTAATTTAATTCATTGCACTTGTGTAGCCCACGGGGTAAATAGAATTGCTGAAGAAATAAGAAATCTGTTTCCGTTGGTAAATAATTTTATAAATTTTATGAAAAAAGTTTTTGTAAAGGCTCCGTTGAGGGTGCAAATATATAAAGAAAGACTTCCCGGTGTCCCTTTGCCACCTAAACCAGTAATTACAAGGTGGGGAACCTGGCTCGAAGCAGTCTTTTTTTACTTTGAACACTGCAATGAAATAGAATTAGTTATGTCAGAATTTGATGATGATATTTCCGAAGCCATTCGAGAAGCAAAAAAAATATTAAAAAATCCCAAATTGAAACAGGAACTCGGTTATATCAATGACAATTATAAATTAATAGTTACCACAATTACCTTATTAGAAAAACAAGAGATAAATTTATGTGAGTCAGTAAAATTAATAGATAATTTAAAGACGAAAATTAAATCGGCACCTGGAAGTAACGGTCAATTAATTTTTAAAAAAATGAAATATGTTTTCGACAAGAATGAAGGTTTTTCGTTTTTATCTAATGTTGCTAAAGTTTTGAATGGGACATTTTCCGAGGAATTTCAAATTATGCCAGATTTATTATCCGCTCTGAAATATGCTCCAATTACATCTGTCGATGTCGAACGTTCGTTTTCAATGTACAAATTAATTTTAAGTGATCGAAGACATAGTTTTAAGACCGAAAATATTGAAAAACATTTAGTTGTTTCTATTAATGATAAAATTTTAAGTGGTTACAATGTTTAATTATTAATTAACAGTTATTTAGTTACTAGTTTATTTATACTAATGTTATGATTATGATGTGTAAATATACTTGCCTTAAGTTAATATTACGTTAATTTACTTTGTACAATAAATAATAAGTTATATTCCTTTATTGCCTATATTTTGCCTAAATGTTAATATTCCTGCCTTTTTTAATAAAAATCTTTGCCTATATAGGCGCCTTTTTCTTCAATTTTTGTTGCCTATAAATCCGAGCTTTAATAATAACTGTTGTTACTTATTTGTTATAGTAAGTAACAGCTTATTTTGATACGTGTGCAATTTGATCCCTGAAATGGTGTACACTTTGCAAGAAAGAATCGAAATTGTAGGTTTATACTAGAAAAA